AAAAATGTTTTTTTATTTTCAGCCGAATATATCGGCTTCAGAAATCTTCTGCATCTTATACAACAATAAAGTTAAGAATATGGCGCAGGCGGCCATCTTTTCTTCCCCAAAATAACTTGCCGTCTTATACATCGATAAAAAAGTAGTAATTAAATACTATAATACATAATACTACATCAAATGTGACTTTGCCTTGTACAGCTGCTAATCACAATTCTGCTGTATGATCGGATCGGATGCTGAAAAGTTTACGGCCAAACACTAAATCTAACTAAATGACAAAACATCGAAATTTTTTTTTTTTTTTTTAATATTCAACTTAGTCTGACCGAAAACATTTCAGCACTCGTAGAAATTTTACTATGCTGTTCACCCTGTACAAGGCCCAAATGCTATTCGAAGTATCGAAGTAGAGGCTTAAGAATAAGAGGCAGCATCCCAAGCAAAGTGGCAATATCACCAAGACGCAAGGGGCCATTGGAATTGGAAAAGAAGGAAAAGAAAAGAAGAAAAATACATATGCAGTTTTTATTATTATTTTATGCGTGAATTTGTTTTCAGTCTTTTTTTCTCTAGATGTTAGACTTTTTTGAGTCTGTTTTATTGAGTGGGGGTAGTTACCTATTTCTTACTGGAATCAGTGTTGTTGTTTTTTTTTTTGTTATTTTTTTATTTATTTTTTTTTTTTAATTAATTTACTTCTAGTAAATAGATAATGCCACTAAAACTGCGAGTGAAAGAGAATGAGAAAACTTTAGAAGGAACCGGAAACACAATCCTAAACAGGAAACAAGGGATAAACCTCTATTCTTGTTCAACACATTGGGGAGATTGTGAACCGCACGATAGGCAGACCTATCTACTCTTATTAATGATCTAAATCAGAGATATTAATACAAACATTTTCACCTAAAATGCGGCATGAAATCTTTTTTTAAAAAAATTATTCTCATCTATGTCGTCATTTTTCTCTCTTTACATGAACAAGATATATTTGTATAAAATTCGATTTGAAATGAGGGATTTTCGTGCTTCATATTTGAGATGGAGAATTGTCAATATATTCAAATTTATTCGAACTATTGTTATCTCTTTCATAGATGCTATTATAGAAACAACGTTTCGACCAAACGTGCATTCCCTCTGCTTTTTCGACAAATATTTTAATGGCAACTGTTTTGACGAGCATTTTTCCCCGATGCGCTGGCGACATGAATTTAAGCGTGCCACTAGATTCGCATCTAGGTCCCACCCATTTACTGTTGAAAAACTAAATGCAAAAACCACTTCTACTCCAACAGTTTCTTTTCTCGCACTTCCCGCTTTCGGACCTTCCTTTCGTTTACATGTTTCCCTAACTACAATCTTCAAACATTAAAATGCATCGTCAATCGGCATCTTCTATCTTCTTGAATCCCGTTCATCTTTTGTCCTTTCCTCACTCCAACTTTTCTCTCACTTTCACTTCAGGACGGAGGTTATGGCTTTCCACAATGGAGTTTTCCACTGTTTTTTCTTCTTCTCAATTTGAAATTCTCCAAGTTCTCTTTCCCCGGAAATTTCAATTGTCTCTTTCTAATTCTAAGTACAAGTTTCCATATGATATGTTATTCTATTTTCACAATTGAAGACATGGCAGATTCGTTCATACATGGAATACTATTGCCATATATGGTCTGTTGCCCCCGCTGTTCATCTCGAGGTCTCGACAAAATCCAAAGACGGTTATGCAATGTGATCGGTCCTGACACGGGGTCTCGACTCCAGTCATTTGCTCACAGACGTAATGTGGCTTCCCTCTGTCTTTTCTATAAATATTTTCATGGCATCTGCTCTGACGAGCTATTTTCAATGGTGCCTACATGAATTTAAGCGTGCTACGAGGTTCGCATCTCGGTCCCTCACTTTTACTGTCGAAACAGTTAAATGTAACCGCCTCTTCTAATCCAACAGCTTTTTCTCCGATCTTCCCGGCAGTGGAACTCCCTTCCTCTTACTTGCTTCCCTGATAACTATAATCTTCTAAAATTTAAATGTAATGTCAATCGACATCTTCTGTTGCCTTGATCCCCGTTCTTCTTTTCATCCTTTCCTCACCTCCCCCCATACCCAGTCTTTTCCCTTATTTACACTCTCTGTAGCCCTTTCCGTACTAGTGGCACTCCCACCTTGCTTGGTGTAAATGCTTAAAAGAAAAGATGATACTCAGATTTGTGTATGTTTGTGTGGACATGATTACTAGTGTCGGAGACGTGTGTTTTATGTTGTTTTGTTGAAGCTACATTTTCGAATAGAGCTCGATTTAAGAAATTGTAAGATATTATATGGCTTAATGTCATGAAAGTTCATGTTGCTTGTTTGGTAGTATTTTAAGCGGAATTGTGTGAAGTCGATTCAATTATTACGTGAATATTGTTAGAAATTTTACTATAAATATGTCTGTTGTTAAGGTAATTTTTTGATGTATTTTAATAGTTTGCTAGTGTGTTGCGTTTGTTTGGGGTTCACTATTGCCCATAGCTGGGACCCTAACAGATGCTACCACTCCGTGTTAGAGTGGAGCTGGGAACAACAGCAATTAAGAGTTGATTGCACACTCCTGAAAACCTCCAATATCCCAACCTGAGGCTTACTGCGGGATGTAGTTTATTATCATACTAGTGGAAATTGTCTGTCAAGCTCTAGATAAGAATGTTCAAGTTCGGGCTGTTGTTTTGGACATCTCTAAAGCTTTCGACGGGATTTGACATTCAGGTTACAAGTTGAAAAGTTACAGTGTCTCTGGTCAAAATTTTGAACTGACCCAGTCTTTTTTTTTTTTTTTTTATCAAATCATGAAATGAAACTTATCCTGAACGATCACTCTTCTACCTCGTTTTGAATTAATGCAAGTGTCCCTCCCCCGTGGTTCTATCCTTGGTACTACTTTGTCTTTAATTTTCATTAACGCCCTTCCCGATGGTATCAGCTCTCAACTTCGTATCTATGCTGTCTCGATAGTAAATCTGATCAGTACGATAAGGTCAACTTGGTGGCTGATATATAAAAAAAAAACGACCTTCAATCTGTTGTTAACTGGGGCAAAGGATGGCTTGTTAATTTTAACACCTCAAAACTAATCTGCTTTCTATTAATCATCCGAGAGAATCCTTTCTGCCTTCTATCAGCATGGCTGATGCTAACCCCCAATAGAGTGACTCGTTGCGACTTCTCGGGATAACGTTCTCGGCTGACATGCAGTGGAAAGACTATATAAGAAATTTTTTTCACTGTATCGTGCTAGAAAATTTTTCTGTCCCGATATCTTACATATATATGTCTACCATTCGTCCATGCTTAGAATATTGCTGCCATATATGGCCTGGTGCTTTAGAGATCCTTGATAAAATCCAAAGAAAAATCAGCAATATTATTGGTTCTAATCTGGCATCTTGGTTTCAGTCACTTTCCCACTACTCCTATGCCTTTTCTATAAATTCTTTCATGGTAACAGTTCGGGTGAGCTCTTCACCATGGAACCTAGACTTTATGAATTTGAGCGCAGTATTGGCGACGAGGTTTAATCAATTTACAGTTGATTGGGCTAGATTTAACCGTAAGTTCTACGCTAATAGTTTCTTTTCTAGCACATCTCATTTGTGGAACTCCATTCTTTCCATTCAACTTTCATCATCAAAAATTCAAATGCAATGTCAATCTATTTACTACCCACTTTCTTCCTTATTGGACTTGTTCTCGTTCCTTACTAATGTTTCGTTTTTTCTTCTAATTCTTTTACACCCAGTAACCCCTTGTGTCTTAGAGGCTGTACTGCCTTACTTATTAAAAAATCTGAATTGTCGATGGAGCTAGACTATTTTTGGCTTCTTATTGTATGTACTCGTGAGAGTACCATTTTAAATTCGCCTTGTGCCACATTCCGTTCGAGTAGGCTCACAGATAAATACCGCTTCACCCCACCCCTCAAAAAAATAAGATGGAATGAAAAGGAAAGAAAGGAAAAAGAATCAAACAAGCAATGGGCATCAAAGAATATGCTAATCTGAGTGTGTTTCTGGAAGTCTGGTGATATGTTGCCCGATCACGAGTAATTAGGGTGTGAAATTCCCCTACCTTTTGCCAAACTCTTTTACTTTATCTGTGGTGATTCATACGCCGACGTGCTGTAAACTTGAATCGGGTTGATCAGCATACTGAAAGCACGGAACGTGGGATGAGGAGAGAGAATGGCCGCCTCCTCTGTGTTTCGCCTTAAATAATGGCATCGACTGGGAAATGCTTTTTATTTATTTATTTATTTATTTATTTTCGCGCTTGGTCTGTCGATGCTTTTAAGCGAGTCGAGCTTCTAATTAGAAAGAAAGAAAGCAAAAATGCAATTGAATAAATCTAAAGTTCTGAAAGCTACGCTATCAACATTTAATTTTATGCTCATGTACACGCACACATCGTTTTTTTTCCTTCTCTTTCTGTCTTCCCTACTGCCACCTACAATCTTTTTGCGTTCTTATATAGGAGCAGTTGCTCTCATATATGTCCACTCTCTCAGGTTGTAGTACATTATCTTTTACACTTACTTGCTCCCTCTCTTTTACGCATCTTTCTTTTTCTTATGTTTTCTCTCTCACTCCCATATGCACACCCTCTCTCTCTCACTCTTAAGGATATACGCATAATACCAACCTTTTACTTACGTGTATGTTTGCACAAACACTGATTCATCTGGTATAATCTTACAATATGATTGTTTTTTTAAGGCTTGTCAACCTTTTGCAGGCTATTTAAAGCCAGAAATATATTAGTCTACGAATTTTTGAGATAATAATTGTTTAGTTTTACCAATTGACCCACATTTGAGTGTGAAGATGTGGATCCATGCCTTTCCCAAGGGTAATAACGTGTAAGTGAATATAACGAACCCAACTGGAATTGGAACTCGGCTCTCTGATTAAAAATTCCGAGCCATTATCCATTACATCACCAATATATCCAAGCTTAGAGTACTTGATATTCCAAAGCGGTCACCCAACAAGATACTGACTAGGGTCGACGTTGCTTAATTTCGGTGATCGTACGGTAACCGGTATTTCAACGTGATATGACCGTAAGCCACGCTTAAAATAGTTGAGCAACTAGTGAAGTACTGACAGTCACGCAATATCAAAATGCGACACGTTTTAGGGTATCCTGTAACACATCCGATATGGCACACGACTCAAGGTTAATGACTAGATTATAGAATCGAATCACCTTCGTTTCCTCCATATTCCATTTCTAAGAGGCAAATTCCATTCAGATAGCATTTTCCCGAGAACTACTATTCTGTAGAACATAATTTCGCATAGATGCATACTCAACCACTACAACGTTAACCTCTTCATGTCCAGCGTTAATCGTTATTTATATAATCGTTATCCTCATAATCTTCACGTCCTACTGTTTCCTTTTAGACTCCTATTCGTGCGCCGATCTACGTTTTTGACCGTCGGGCAAACTAGATCTTATTCTACCTATCGGTTGTCGATCCAATGTGTCGCTTCCATTCTCCGGGGTAAAACGGGTGGTGCTTTTTATATTGTTAGCCGTGACAAGAATGATGATGTGGACGATGCGAATGGAGGGAATCTTGAGGATAAACGTTATTCACATCAGGATCAGGATCTGGTTGCATCAGCTTAGGGTAAAAATCAGATCGGATCGAAAGCGTTTGATTTCGAAAGTTTTCAGCGAAAGTTGGGGTGACTGAGGCAAGTTTGCTTCGTGAGGACGGGGCTAGCTTTGATTTTCTCTTTTAAGCCTCCTTAAGTGCAACGGGGCAGTTTCCTGTGAACTCTACCTTGTTTAAGTTAAACCCTATTTTGTTTTCCTAGTTAATATGAATAAGTGTTGTTCCTGTCTCTCACTTTTGTTATGACCCATGTCAAGAATCCCAATCTCCCCAGTTTGTTTTCGTCCCCTGTTTTAATCTCGGCTGTGTCAGCCTTTGATTTTTCCCATTCTGTCATTTATTTTTACCCTCCTCATTCCACTAGTAAGTGTGTTACTTGATTCTGTCTAGCGGCAGAATACAGCAACCACTCTGATTATTTTGAGGGGTGAACGAGTTTTACTAACATCTGTTTTTATTTTAGTTTGTTTTTGTTTCAATTTTAGTTCATTCCCCACCCCCCTCATTTCATGTTTCATGAAATTTTAATATATTTTTGTATGTAGACATTTTGAGATTTTTATATCATGGTTTTTTTTTGTAGGTCCCCCGCCCTGTGAATATGCGGTATTGTGGTACATGTAGGATTGAATGATGATCGATGAGTTCTTGTAGTAAATTTGTCAATTGTCTTCGATGAATGGGTCGTGATCGGGATTAACTAGGATTAGGATACTTAGCGAAGACCAGACTCTCCCCACTTCCCTTTTGGTCATGTGTCACAATTATTGTACATTTTATAATAATAAATAAATGATTTCGTCTATTGGCAGAATACAAAGGTCTTTCTTACTATTTTGAGGGGTGGACGTGTCCTACTAACATTTGTTTTGATTTTATCTATGTGCTAAATTTTAGTTTCTTTTCTGGGTTTTTCCACTTTTTTATATAGTTTTGGTTACCCCCCCCAAAAAAAAAATAGTGGAAAAAAAAGGAAATTTTAGACTCTCATGAGATTTTTATCTCCTAGGGTATTTTGTAGGTCCCTTGTGAATATGCGGTATTTTGGTGTATGCAGGATCGAGAGGTGATGGATAAGTTCTTTTGGCGAATTAGCAAATTGTAATGAATGAATGATTCGCGAATCTGATTGACTAGCATAGTTAATGAAGACCATCCCCCCTTCTCCCCCGGTCTTGTGCCACAATTCTGTATGTTACAGAATAGTCTATCTATTGTCGATCAAAGAGAAAGAAGTTGGCATTAAATAACCTAGAAAATGTTGAACCTGTAAAGGGACGATAAACCGCAGGAAACGTTGATATGTCGTAAAACAAAATCTGATCAATTGAGATTTTGTCATATCTCCCTAAAACCGTAATTAAGGCTCGCTCAGTATAGCTGCAGTATAAATCAGAGGTTGCCTCTGATGTATAGAAAAAAACAAAACAAATATGCCTAAACAGCAGGGATTAGCTAACCAGCCGGACATATACTCGTAAACAAGCAGTCACACATTACTTCGACACACACTATTAGCTTAATAAAACACAGTTTTAAAAATGTGTGGTTCCTAATGAGGATATAACCTAGTACAATAGTAATGCTTTGTACTAGGCTACTACTTTACGGTAAATCGCACCAAATATTTACGACATTCAACTTAATATAGCAAAATGATAATGTGATGTATTTAGGTACAAGGATTGTGCTACTCTACAATGGGAGAACTTATCTTGAATATTAGCAATTGAAACTAAGTTTGTTTTTTATTTTATTTAGGATCTGACACTATCAACATTTGAAAATATATAACTATCTAACTCATCAAGTGAGTGAATGTATAAGAGAATGTGGGGTTTCAAGTGTAAAGCATCCAGTTTGGATCGAACTAACTACAGTCGTAGTAGTCTACAAGACCCGCTTGTTAATCATTGCTCAACGGCGAGACTCTCGTCCACAATCCTCACTTTCTAGCCTAGACCGCGTTCAAAAGCTTTTGCTCGGCTTTGTGGGTGATGAATTGTTTTCCGCCCTTCAACGCCTTTCCCCACAGACGAAATTTGGTTCACTGTGTCGTGCAAGAGAATTTTTCTCTCCATAATCTATCTTGCATATCTCTAAGTCTACCATTCGTTCATGCTTAGAATACTGTTGCCACATATTGCCCAGATACCCTGATATTTACCTTAAGATCAGCAATATTATTGGTCCTAATCTGGCGGCTCGGCTTTAGTCACTTTCCCACGGCGATAGGGTTGCATCCCTGTGGCTTTTCTATAAATACCTTCATGGTAATTGTTCGGATGAGCTCTTCGCTATGGTACCTAGACTTTATGAATTTAAATGCAGTTTAGATCTGGGGTCTAGACCTCACCAATTTACACGTGATCTGGCTAGATATAACCGTAGATTGTATGCCAACAGTTTCTTTTCTCGCTTGTAGAACTCGCTTCCGGCTCCATGCTTTCCAATTAACTTTAATCTGCAAATTTTTAAATGCAATATCAATCGCTATCTACTGTACTCCTAATTACTCTTTCATCTTCCCGCTCATTATTAATGTTTTTATTCCTAATTCTTCCACAACCTGTAACCCCCTTGTGTCTTAGTGGCTTTACTGCATTACATGTATTGATACCAATTAAAAAAAAATCTGAGAATTGGAATCTTCCGAAGTAAAGGAAATCTGTATCAATTTTATATCCTATCCTGCCAGAAATCAAATTATGAAAAAATCCAGTCAAAAGGCCAGGAAGGAATTTTCAAGTAAATATAAACTTATGAAAATTCAAAATTGAAAAAAAGAAGCCGTAAAACGTTGCATGTAAGCTGCAACACAAGTGATAGAATGTATTCCTTCTTGAAAGCAAGCATTTTTGTCTTGCCACCGACGCAAAAAATTAAATTCTCTTCTAAATTGTTTGAATGGTCATCCTCTTAAATGCCAACATGGTCGACTGACATTTGGCCACGCGCTGGCAAAATCTAAAACAAAGCTGTCAGATTGTGTCATATGTTAATGAAGTTTTAACTTCAAAAGAAACCAGTGTGTCTTTTTGTTTTCGTTGACAACTGCTGCCCTTTTGGCGATGGCTGTCACTAGACAATGAACTGGCTGCGTGGTTGGCATTCTTTCGACTTGTGCCTTTTCAGAGAACACAGATTTGCTTGTAGACGGAAATGTACGAAAACAAAACAGCAAGACCTGGTTTATAGAAGGTAACATTCATCTTATACACCACAAGCAAGGTAACCTGATGTTGTCTGGTTAGCTTTTCGTTAAATCTTTCTTTCACACTCTCTTCTTTCTATCTGTGTTTTATAATCTTGTCTGCAATTTCAAAATGTGTGGCTCAAAGTGATCTGGTTGTTCTCACTGACCAAGCGAACAATTACTGCGTAGTACTAAATAAAGAACAAGATGCGATATCTAGACAGTGTTCGGGGTTCAGTTCTACATTCCCTGAAGGTTGCTCGTATCCACAGGTTAGAGGGCACAAACTTTCTGATTGGTTGGTTGTTTTTGTTTAATGGTATAGCAAACTCTATGGCTTATTTAATAACGAACTTATTTTATTTTAATATTTAGATTATAATATTTTATTGATAGAAGTCTTACTAATTAACCCATAGCCATGGGGAAAGAAGAGGTTGATTCATGCCTTTGTGCTTAAGTGAATATAACGAACCCAATGATAATTGGAACTCGGCTCTCCCATTAACAATTATCCGTTATCCATTACACCACCTGCATATCCAAGCAGCTTACATTACCTGGGATTTCTAAGCGGTCTCCCATCTAGGCACTGACTAGGCTCGACGTTGCTTAACTTCGGTGTTCGTACGGGAAACGGTGTTTCAACATGATGTGGCCGTAAGCGGTGGATGAGATTAGTCCGAATATAAATAATATAAAGAACTTTTCTACCATTCCTAACGCGAGAAATTATTATACATTTATTTATTCACGCTAATGTCCTCATCTTTGATTCTGTCGTCACATTTCTGCCATGAGGAAGTAACATTAATCGGTATTTTATTCAAATTGAATGCTTAATCGGAAGAGAAAAAAAAAATGAGGATGTTATTTTTCCCCACTCGATATATGGGAGTTGTGATGCGCGTGTATTGTAATGGAATCGGCGGGTCGAGTTGAAATTTTAGGCGTTCACTTTCGTTGGGAGAGGCACGGATCTGTATATACTTCCACAGCCATGGGTTAGTTAGACTGACCTCTTTAGCCGTCGTTGTAGCCAGTCTAAGAGAAGGAAAACTCTGAATTCCAAACCGCTGAGAGGTTCACAGCAAACCACTTCATTCTCTTTGCCTATAATGCAAGGTAGTTCATAGATAATAAACATATGTGATCTGTGGAGGATCATGGTCGCTTACGTGAAGGGAATATATTATTAAAAAGAAATGAGACAGTTTTTTTTTATGTAAGCAAATCTATCTTGTTAAAGTTCGAACAAGTGCATACTAACTGCCAAGAAAATGTAGAATTAGCCATTATTGTCATTTAATAATAGCGTTTCTGCTCAAATAGAATTATTATTTAGGTATATTAAGGTTTAGAGGCCGTGTATTTTAAGGTAGTGTAGGAAGAGTTAGGTTCATCTGAAGGGTTTGGTAGACATATCATTGCGCATGAAGATAGAATATAGAAAAATTATTTAGCAAAGGAGTTCCTAGGATAGAGACCCCTCTTTTCTCAGTAAAGCCCTAATTTTCTCACATGGTGAATACAGGTTGCAGCAGAAATACCTCCCACATAATAGTAAGACATTAGCTACAGGGTGCGACAGAAATAACTCCTTCATTTTAAGCAGTCACCTGTGTGGCACTAGTGTCTTCATCTAGTTAGTTGCTTATCATTATATGGGATGTATTGTAGGAGGAATATTTGAGAGGTATTTCTGCTGCACTCTGTATAAATTATTTCAGTTAAAAATTATTGAATGCATTTCAGCCTCTTATAAGAGGACTTTCCGGAAATGGATGTGCGGGTGGTGTCACGGATATCGTGGTGGAAAGTAGAATCGGCAAGCCGATTTCAAATTCTAACCTAGTTTGTTGCGGTTACTTTTGCACAAATGCTCTTGGGAAAGACATAGATAAGTTATAGACTGGGCTTAGACAACCAGTATGAGAGAAGGAAATCTGAATTCCAAATTGTGGAGAAAGTAACAGGAAATCAGTCTCAAGAAGTCCTGGCAATTCACAGATAACAAAGGAAAGGAATCTGTTTATTGGTTTATTTTATGGCATCAGTCAATTATGTGCCATGCGTGATACACGCTTAGGCGATCATGTATCTTTCGATACATTGACTGACGCGGCAGATTTTTTCCCGCAGTAGGCTGCCATTTCTTTCTGCGTTAGATCAGTTGCTATCCAAGGCTATAGAACCCTTTCTGTCCTGCTATTTACCCAAGGGTAATTAGTACGTAAGTGAATATAATGGATTCGGATTCCTCAATCCGAGCCGCTATCCATTACTCCACCGTGGCATATCAACCTAAATAGATTATTTTTAGGCTAGGTTTGTATGAATAGAATATGTATTCTCTGCAAGAAATCAGTTTGAAGATCAGGTTTCATTTACGTATTTTTCTAAAGAGTGTTTTTGTCGAGTGTCAAATGTATTGCTGGTAATATTTCTATTTTCAAAAATGTATTGCTGGTATTTTTACTATAAAAATCTATTTTTCATACTTTAATAGTGTTTTGACCACAGTTTTGGGGGCTTTAATATTTACTCATAGTTTGGACTCTAACAGGTGCTACCACCCCGGGTGGACCTGGGAACAACAGCAATTAAGAGGTGGTTTCACGCTCCTCAAATCCCCCCCCCCCAATCAAAGGCCTTGCTGCCGGATGTAGTTTATCCTACTCATACTCAGGACGAAGGAATCTGTTCAGAGCCATGATCGTCTACGCCCCGAAGAAAAGTGGTATTAAAAAAACCTGAAAATGATTAAGTCATTAAATATTAAAAAAAAAAACCCCACAAACCTAAGACATTGACACCATCGTTCAATTCAAACTTCTATCCTTGGGACTTCATATACTTATCCCAGCATGCACTTTTAAAACATTCGGCAAAGATTCTCTTTGAGATCGCCATCAGCAGTCTCGTTAAATTTGCTTTGATGATGTTCACGATATTTCAGCTGCGATTTTAGCTAGGAAACTGCCCCCACACAAAAGCGAGATGCGAGTGGGTGGGTGTTGACAGATGGAGAATGTATAATATAATGATGTACCAAAAAGTTCTGCACATAACTTGAAGAAGCTGGACACTTCGACATGGTCTAATGGTTAGCAAGGTTGTCTCGATGAATCATTTAAGACTGAATAGGGCGCCCCATACATTCGGCCTTGTGCCACATCTAAGCTACGCTTAGAACATTACCAAAATCAACTAATCCAAGGCTGGTGAATGCGATGGTTACAGAGTTCACTAGCTCACCCAATGGCGTCATACTGCTGACTGAGGAGCCTCGTAGGAGTGTGTTTACACATGTGCAGTACAGTGTCCTATGATTAATTGCCGAGTTACATCAAGGTTACACAACCATTTCTGGAGGTAGTCATAATGAAATGGCGGGAGAGACCGCATTCATATTTTAGTGTTTTTAACGACTTCATATTTTTTTTTTATCAACTAGTTTTTTTTTAGTTTATTTTTTTTTTAGTTTATTTTTTTTTAGTTTATTTTTTTTTTAAATTTAAAAATTTTTTTTTAGAAACACTAATAAACCCATGTCGTTAGATAGGTATTAGACTGAATTTGTTTAAATATTCAACATAAATTTATACATTTTTTAAAATCATTTCACCACTACCAAGGCAGTAAAAATCATTGGGGCGCAAAGGGTTACTGAGTGTTAGATATTGAGAAAACTACTATTAAGGAGAGAAGACAATAAAAGAACAAAACTTAAGAAGACAGAAAATAACGATTGATATTGCATTTAAATTTTTGAAGAAGCAAGGAACCGAAAGAGAGTTCCACAAACGAGAAGTGCGATAGAAGAAACTGTTAGCATAGAACTTACGGTTGCATTTAGCCAATTCAAATGTAAAATGATGAGAGCTTGCCGCTAATCTAGTACTGCGCTTAAATTCTTAAAGTCTAGGTACCATAACGGAAAGTTCATCAGAACAATTACCATGAAAGTATTTCTAGAAAAGGCAGAAGGAAGCTACGTTACGGCGGTGGGAAGGGGACTCAACGATCAATGACATTGCAGATTCGTCTTTGGCTTTTATCAAAATTCTCTTAATATATAACAAGACCACCAGGCCAGAGGTGGCAGCAATATTCAAATCAAGGTCTTATAAATAGGTAAGATAGATTCTGGCGTGAAGTATTGTCTAACACGATATAGTGAACCACTTTTCCTAACTGCTAACTTATCAGTTGATTCAATATAAACTTTCCACTTCATGTTAGCTGAAAACGCTAGTTCGAGAAGGCACAATGAGTCACTCTCCTGATGGAAAGTAAAAAGAATTCTCTTAGATGATTAAAAGAGAACAGTTTTCTTTCGGCGACGTTAAAATCTTTGCTCCATTTAACAACAGATTGTAGATCATTTTTTTTTTTTTTTTAGATCACCTGCCAATTTGACCTTATCGAACTTACTATACATTGTGTTCACTGTATAAATAATATTTAGAATACTAAAATGTGTATATAATTCAATAATTTCAATACAAATATGTTATATTTTTTTCGTGATGAAGTTAGGTTTCGTCTTTCTTTATCTTAAAACGAAAACCGAATCTTGCTTGGTGATGAATTACCTCAACAAATACATAATCGGGATAATAAAGATGCCTTTACGTAGTTAAATAATTTTATGTTGATTGAATTGGGACTGAAAAAAACAATTATTCCTCAAGACGTTTTTTGATGAATATAGATGTTAAAGAATTACACATTGTGTCACCAGAGAATGAACGATCAAGGCGTTCACTTTTCTGATTGGTTGACCGATTTCAAGGCAAATCCAGCGGGACTTGGGAAGTAAACTCGTTTATTTTGACTCAGCCGATTCCCTGTTGTTTGTGTCGGCCAATGCGCAGCGGGAAACCTCCTCCTCCTGTCTTTGCAGTGTCTAAAGTCCATCATATCCGATAATAGACGGTGACAAAGCTTGAATGCCTTATTAATTCGTTCACCCCGTAGGACCGGGTCGCTACGTAACAAAAACAAATAAACGACCGCACAGGACGCCGTGGAGACAATCTTTAGGGAATGAAGAATCTGTATGCAACTAAATTTACTTGACTACCTTTCTGATCAGTTATTTTATTTCCTTTATTCTTTTCTCTCTCTCTCTCTCACTGTCTTTCTCACTTCTTCCTAGTATATAAATCAGTCTGTAGAAATAGCCTGTTCGTATCTCTTTAATCACAGCCCATTCGCGTCTCGCCAATCTCTGCCCGTTCGCGTCTCTCCATTCTCTGCCATTTCGCGTCTCTCCATTCTCTGCAATTTCGCGTCTCTCCAATCCCTTCTTGTTCGCATCTTTCCTTCTATTGGTATATTTAATAAGCCTAGCTTAGCCTAGCCAGGCTGACGATGCAATGTATATTCTGGCTTTTTAAATAGGCTCGTACATCTGCCTCTGGTGGCCATGAATAAAAGCGTAGCCACTATAGCCATGAAACTAGTTCAGTTTTTTTTTTTTCAATTCTTTTGTTTTACTCTTAAGAATTATCGATATTCTTTCAATGTCATCCTGAGATTTTATTCTTTATCTATCTTATGTTTTCTCCCTACCCATCGATTCTTTCTGCTTCATATTCTTTCTTAAGCCCTGTTTATTTCTCACATTTTCTTCGTCTTTTTAATTCTTCTTGCTTCTCCTTTTCTTTTTTTACCTACCTTCCTCTTTACACATTTTTCTCCTCCATATTATTTTTCACTTTGGAGTTGCCAGTATTTTTTTTTCTTCTTAATAATAAAATCTTTGGTTCGTTGTCGTTAGTTCCAGTCTCACTCATTACCGTTTCTCGCAAAATGGCCGTCATTATTTTCCGCTTGACATGGACATTACCAACTGATAAACAAATCATGGCTAGTTTTGTAAGATTCAGAAATAAAACACAAATCAAATAGGGCAAAAATGAGAGACCGAAAAACCAACGATTAAAAACAGATAAATGAAAAGGAACCAGAAGTAATAATCGTCTAATGTGCCTTTTCTTTTTCACAGTTCAATAATTGCGGAAAGAGGCTAACGGCGCAATAATTTCTGCAGTATTAAGCCTCGTTTTCGTGAGCAAACCAAGACAACAAATAATTCTGATTTTGAGTCGAGATAAATCATCTTTTTTTAATAAACCAAATCTTGAGGAAATCAATTCTTTTTCAATGAGCCAATATATGCTATATGTACTATCGCAACCAGAGATTGAACTCAGGATCACCAAGTAACTAAATACGCTTCACCAACGCTTTTATCCATTAGGAAAAATTATAGATATTCTGTAGCTTAGTGTGGCGACAAAGGCGAAAATCATATCTTACCTTGGAAAAGAATTCGTTTTCTTTGTGCCATCTATCGGAAAAGAAAATCCAAATTAAGATCATGTCGACTTTAGTAGGACTCGTTATATGATAACTGTTTTCACTTCCATACCAGTCTCGATCAATCACAACCTTTCTTAGCCTAATAAAATAACTCTACTTTGAACCAGAGGATTATTTTTAACTCTACGTCGATGAAAACGTAGTTGGGCGTTGCGAGTTGTGACGTGAATTTTTACCCTTTTGATTTACGGTCGTGCTATTTTTCTGACGTTCGAGACTCTTGGAAATACCACCTCGCACATTTGACACTTGGAAATATCACCTCGGGCTTTTGGGATCTGAAACTCCATATTGCTATTTAACTTATTTGGAGAACGGAATAAGAACAATTTACATTGTGAATTGAATAAAGTGTTTAGTTCAAAATTCTCTGAATGTTACCAACTACAACAGACATCTAAAGAACTCTGGAGGTTGCGGCGTTATGACCCTCGCTTTTGCTTTAGTTTCTCGATAGAAATCCTTAAGGTAACCATAAACTGATACAGGTTGAAATTGTGAAGTTTGAAGATTTTATTGAACGATTTTCCAAGTGAAGATTTCCTGAGTTATTTTAAAGTTAACATTTGAAATCCAGGCTTTGAGCCGAGCTCGAACCCCGACCAATTAGTATCAGTGCGAATTACACAGGTACATCTCCCACCAAACAAGATTCCACACACATCAACAATGATTTATGTTTCGAGTCTTGTCTTTAATTTTTAAAATTCAATTGATTTTTCTTTGACGTCGATATTTAATATAAATGTAGTCCAAGTGTTATGACGTTCCGCACTTACGACCATTGTGAGATGATAGTTAATCGAGACATACCCACAACTATATTTTTAATTCTGACCTTATGCCCTCCCCATTTAAATTTCCGAAAAGAGGTACCGATTTGTTTTTAAATTTCTCTAATAGATCATTTTTATCACAAGTTATCGGCCGAGGAAGTACAATCATAATATTTAAACATGAAAGCTTTTGTGTAAAATGTTTTATAATCTATTATAATTAAAATATTATATAATATTTTGCTCTACTTTGTATTGAGCACTTTTTAAAAAGTAAATGCTACGAACTGTGGAATTTTATTCCATCTGTTCTTTCTCTTATATATATATATATATATAATCAGTGGTGACTGATATCAACACCAAGCAGCTACTTGGTCTTGACCTCAGTGTTCACTTTCATATTTATATTTACATACGGTCTGTTCCTGGAATTGAGAACTCTTACCCATAAATATAGCATATTTTAAAACAATATTTTTATTACACACACACACACACACACACACACACACATATATATATAAGTAACGAAAGTCTTGGTAATCCGTATGAATAATCCCAAGAAGGATGAAATCCGGAGAGCTCAATGCTAAGTTAGAGCGAATAATTTCATTTAAAGAAAACATAGAACAATTTAAGGTTCCATTGTAATAATTTATCTCACCAGAGATTTTATTTTTCTCTGAATCTTCAGACTTCACTTTCAAGGGTGAAAAAATGAATTTAAAATTTACACCTTTGAAGGACAGTATTAAGCGTATATGTCACCTTATATAAGCTTAATCCTGCCCTTCAAAAATGTAAATTTTAAATTCATTTTTTTCACCCTTTTCGTTATTCCATAAAAATAAAATCTCTGGTGAAATAAATTATTACAATTTGAACCATAAAGTGGTCTTTTTTACTTTAAATTTATTTATATATATATATATATATATATATATATATATATATATACATATTAAACGTACAGGCCACAATTTTGTGTTCTTTTAATTCCTTCTGTTTCATATACATGAAACACTGCTTAGATTTACTAACATTTTATGAGACAGCTTAAGTATAGATTACCAAAAGTGATAAAATCTGATACCAACACCATATTCCTAGTATTAAAACACACTTATATGATGGGAAACAACAACAACAATAAAATATATATATATATATATATATATATATATTTCTATTTAGAAGAAGAAAAAACACATTAAAAACCTATTAGTGACCCTAGAATGCTTAAAAAATAATATTCCGAAAAATATTTTAATTTTCCCGAAGATGATTTAAATTAAAACGCGCGCAAGAGTGAAATTCCTTAAAATGTAATCAATATTTGTCAGAAATGTCATTGATTTTGCTGATATTTTCGATGTTTTTTGGCTCTTAAGTCATATAATCAAAACCAGACGCACTTCTTAACCAAATATCGATTAGCTGTAAGAATGTTGTTCGGGATTGCTTTCGCCATTTGTTTTAAAACAAGTTATTTTACATTCTAGTCTAGTAGAATCTATTTCAATATAAGCAGCTCGTGGTAACACTGGGAGTATTGTTTACGCCGACGGTAGTTTTATTGACATGACTTGTGTATTTTCAGCCATCCCGCAGGGTAATGTCCCTGCTTCGTTTTTTAGAGTCTTTTATGAGAACCGCTACTGGTAATGACTTATTTGTAGCCACTGATTCACGCAGTTTCAATCCACTTAATTAACTGAAAACACCTGCATTCTAGAATAAACCTCTCTTCAAATTTCGGCCCAAACAATTAGTCTGAAGTCCGAACCTACTGACGAGGAAATTTAAGATATTCCTTTCTAACAAGAAGAAAAATGGAGTTGTCTGTGAACGGCGAATCCATTAAACGAGTCTGTGACTTTAAAATATTATGTTAGCTGTGAGCATTTTAAAAATATAGAAACTGTGTTTTTTCTTTTTTATATTCTGACAATTGGAAAACATATTTATTTCGACATTAAATGACCCATAAGGAGTTGATATGCCGTTAACCAGACAAATCTATCAAATTATTCAGTTTACATAATTGTTTTATTTAATTGCATGAGTACGTATGGCTGGGGAAACATTAAAAAAAGAATTGTGGGTGGTCATGAACCTTGGATAAACAGATTGTCATTAAACAATTACAACTTTTTAAAAACATTTTCTTTTTTCTTTTCCTCTTCCATCATGAACATTTTCACACTTTATTAAAAAAAAAAAATTTTTTTTTATATATAGTAACTACGTATATTCAAAAATCATTTAAAACTTGCTTCCTGCTGATTAGGAGTTTATGATTTCCTAAGAAGAAATAAAGCTAACTTCAAAATTTAAATATATTTGGAGTTTTGGGTAATTACAGAGTAGTCTCCCTTATTCATTAATTTGCAAATAATGCAAAGTGTGTTGTTTTATATTCTGACAATTGGAAAGCATTTGATGAAACAGTTATGTAGAAAAGATAACAGATTGTCATATTTGAAGATTTTTTTTCTTTTTTGTTATTCCATAAAAATATTCAAATTAATATTCTCATCTTTTTCTGTAGGTTTCGACGTTTTTGGGGTAAAATGAAGTAATGAAAATAACATGGCTGAAAATAGTATTCCAGATGACGAAATAATATTAGTTTTTCATATCAGGACAGCGGGCAAAGCGTAAATCTTTAAGTATATGTCAGTTTAAATACAATAATCAAAACAACAAAAATAAGAATACTAGTTGCAAAATAGGAGAATATAGATACTCAGTATATCTCTCATGACGATAAACGTTATTTTTTTGTGGTTACATTTGTTTGAGATGTTATCTTTGTTTTTATTTCCTTTATAAAGGGAAAAACACGAAAAATTAGCGTTTATAGTAATAAAAAATAATGTCGGATTAAAAAAAATCATTTTAAAAAGACTGTTGAAGCTATAGGCGATCTGGATTTGTAGAAGTCACAGGAAAAAAATTAAATAGATAATCCGACCCTTTCTCTATCAAAATGGTCTCCTGTTGGTACGACACATTTTGGCTATAGAAGCGGTTCCCCTGATAGAAAAAAAGATAATAGTTTGATTTCTGTCGGGAGGCACATGTTTTTCTTTAGTAAGACTTCTCGATCTAAAGCGGTTGTCATTAATTTCATTGTTTAAGAAAAAAACCCAAAAAACACGCGAAACTATTAAAAAATAACGTTTATAGTAATAAGGAATAATGCCGAAATAAAAAAAATACTAATTAAAACAAGACACAGTACTGTTTCAACGAAATCCGACTTAGCTCTTATTCTTCTTGCTCGAAAATATGACTTGCCTTTTGTGTGATCCTTCTAAAAACCGCCGTAATATCAGAAAATTTGATTCATTCAGTTTATGGTCCTGGGTATGACGATGACCTATATCCAGCAGTTAGGCCGCTGATCGAAGGTTTTGAGGAGCGTGAAAAAACCCCTTAATTGCTGTTGTTCCCAGGTCCACCCTAACCCGGGGTGGTAGCAATTATTAGGGTCACAGCCAAGGGTAAATAGTGACCCCCAACCAAACACGATGAAAGTATAAAAATACATATTTCTAGGAAAAATACCAGCAATACATTTTTATATAAAAAATACCAACATTATATATATTTATAGTATAATTACCAACAATACTAATAAATTGTATCGATTTTACCCAAATCCATTTAAAATACTAACAAACAACCAACATGAAAGGATTCTTTCATGGCATTAAAGCATAGAAATATCCGACAATTAAATCAAATGCTATTGCCAAATATAACTTCAACAATACGACAAGATAAAACACACACATCCCACCTCTAGTCATCATACCGACACGAACAAGTATATGCACAAAAGCTGAATAGTAGCTACCATGTATTCAATTGTTACGGTAGAATAACATTTTTATTACTTCCAAGAAAATTAAATTTCGGCATTTAATGACCTATAAGGAATTGGTATGCCGTTTAACAGATAAATCAATGAAATCATTCAGTTTACATAATTGTTTTATTTAATTGCATGAGTACGCAAGGCTGGCGAAATATTAAAAAAGAATTGTGGATGGTCATGAACCGTGGATAGATTGACATTAAACAATCACGGATTGTAAGCTATTCAAACACATTTTATTTTATTTATTTTCATCTTCTGTCATGAACATTTCCACAGTTTTTCTAAATTGTAACTGTGTATATTTAAAAAAACAAACAAACATTTAACACTCGATTCCTGCTGATTAGGAATTTGTCTAAGAACAAGTAAAGCTAACTTCAAATTTTAAATATACTTGGAATTTTGGTTAATTACAGAGTAGTTTCCCTTATTTGATTTATTTGCAAATAATTATAGATTGATATAATCTACCATGTGTGGTTATATTTTATTTTTGTTTTGTAATGAATGGAATAATTTACTTTACATTGACGATAGGCAAACTAGACAAAGATATTTACGAAACCGTGAGGTGAAAGTCAATTCTATGTGAGAGCAAACTACAACAATAATTGGATCAATAAAGAGTTACATGTAAAATAATCTAATAATTAGTAAGAACTTAACAGAAATCTTAATCCCATATATGACGCCGCCATAGTCACCTCGATGGTTAGCAAGCTTGTTTTGCGAGAACAATTACAACCGAGAAGTTAATTCGATCCTCACTGCGTGTCTTATACTTTCGGCTTTGTGCCACATCTAAACTACGCTTAGGGAAAGGGCACTCCGACATAGTGTTGTGATTAGCAAGCGTGCCTCATTAGAGTAATTAGAACTGAGTCAGAAGTTTCGAAGATCACTGAGTGCTCTATAATTTCAGCCTTGTGTCACATCTAAGCTACGCTCAGAAAATCATACAAAATCTCCGACTTGCTTAGCAAGCTTGTCTCGCTGGATCAATTATGACTGAATATTGAGTTCGATCCTTACTGGGTGTCACATACTGTCGGTGTTGTGCCACATCTAAGCTACACTTAGAAAATTACTATGATGCCGCCATTTTGGGCGGCAAAGGTAAACGAGTCAATGCTATAAGTATCAAGTGATTTGGCGTTGAGCTTATCGGGGGCCTTTTAGCGAATAAATTCCTTTTTTTTTTCGGATTTTATCAACAGTTCATATGCAAAAGAGGATAAGTTGGATATTTGGATTTATAGGATTGTGTTTTTTTGTTTGAAAATAACAGGATGAAAATAAGTAGGAACATATTTTTTTTAAATTAAAATAGAAATTATTTTTATTTCAGAGCTGAACTCTGAAGTTAGATTTATTAATTTTGTCGATTTTCTATCATAAAGTGGCATTTGCGAGCAATTGAGTATTTTCGCTTAATGGACTTCAGGAATTACTGATTAATGACACAAAATTGGAGTTGCTTGAACTCTCTTCATATTCTCAGTGTGTTGAAAAGGTAGTTGAACTATATAGGAAGCTTTTAATTCATGGATTAGAAGAAAAACGGATACAATCTTGCGAAGACCTTACGTCTTCAAATAAGGCATTTTGATTTTAATAGCTCTTAAACACACACACACACACTCTCACACAAAAATTATAATATAATTATCTAAATATTTAATTTGAATTTATGTATTATACAAATGTTTTTAAATTTATTGTTGAAATAGCACAATTTATCAAAGGTGTGCGGTCATATCACGTTGAAACACCGGTTCCCGTGCGATCACCGAAGTTAAGCAATGTCGAGCCTGGTCAGTACCTAGATTGGTGGCCGCTTGGAAATACCAAGTGCTATAAGGTTGGAAGTGCGGATGATGTAATGGATAACAGCTTGGAATTGTTAATTGGAGAACCGAGTTCCAAATTCCGTTGGGTTCGTAATATTCACTTATAGAGCAAATACCCTTTGGAAAGTTATGATTCCACTCCTTCTCACTCAATCATTTTGTTTTATTTTTTTCCCCATGATGCGTTAAGGCATACTGTTTTTGGTCATGAGTTATATAAAAACATGTCGTCTTCCTTCTTTCATTTGAATTGAAGTCGTCTGAAGATCGCATGTGCGTGAAACTCTGGTTATGACTAGAGCCATCCTTTTATAGGATTTTAAAGTTTAAAGTTGGCTAGCGTGTTTGACTTTAGGTCATTTTTTATCTTTTGCTTTTTTTTTTTTTTTTGCTCCCCTTGTTCGAAATTTTATCTTGTTAAATGGGTATTTATATCTTTTGGGCAGTTTTCCGTTGATTCCAGTTTTGTTTTTTTATTATATATATATATATATATATATATATATATATATATATATATATATATATATATTGTGTGTGTGTAAAAGACAAACGGAAAACTTATCTTGGCCAACGTGTTTTGTCCTCTAAGGAATTTTATCAAGGCAAATGTAAAATTATTTTGTAACAAGTATCTCTATACAAGAGCAAAATATTACAGTTGTTTTAGGTATAGGAACGCTCATAAATATTCATTAGGTCAACCGAAAAGTCAGGCCAGTTATGGAGGATATGAACTGATACAATTTAATGTCTAATAAACTTTTAAATTTAATGTCTAATAAGTAAGAGATTATATATTCAAATTAGTATTTAAATTATTTTAGTTTGAGATTATATTTTGAATAACATGTAGTTATGGATTTAATCTTTTAATGAATACCTATGAGCATTCCTATAACTAAAAAACGTATAAGATTTTTGTTCTTGACGGTGGATTAATGGATAGCAGTTGGGACTGAGGAATCGGAGAGCCAAGTTCGAATTCCTCTTGAATCCATTACATTCACTTCCGTGCTAATACCCTTGGGAAAGGTATGAATCCTCTTCTTCTTCCTCCAGATATGGGTAAATAGCAGGACAGACCGGGTTCTATAGCCTTGGATGGCAAATGGTCTACCGCAGAAAGAAATGGCAACTTACTGCGGGAAAAATCTGCCTCGTCAGTTAATGTAACGAAAGATTCATTATCGCCTAAGCGTGTATCACGCATGGCAGATAAATTAAAAAATTTATATAAATACTTGTTACAAAATAAAATCTTCGTATTTCCTTCAGAGAACGAAACGCTTTGGCTAAAGTAAGTCTTCCTTTTGTCTTTACTCAAATTGTCCTTTTACAGATATATTCTATGAAAAATTTGTATTTGTGTGCATGTGTGAGGCGAAGATGGAAAATGATATGTAGATTTTTATATACCATAGAAATATTAGGAAAAATAAATAAATTTCTGCGTCCTCTCCTCTTTGTCATTATTTTTCCTAATATATATATATATATATATATATATATATAAGATGCGTAGTAAAAGGAATAAATTGACGAGTAAGCCACTTGCTCTTCTTCGCCTATGGTTTCTCAGGCTTATAAGTGACAGAACGTCCTAGCTCTTATAAACGAAAGCGCGCTGTTTTTTTCCTTCGTTTCTTTCTTTTTCCCCTTAAACCTCTTCGTTTTTTCGTTTCTTTTTTCCTTCGCCCATTATTTTTTCACCTCCCCCTCGTCCATTAATTTATTTTATTTTTCCCTTCGGCTTTTTTTGTTCCCCTCCCGCTTCTTCATTTTTGTCTTTATCTTTTTCCCCCACCACATCTAATTCTTTTTCTTTGCTACACTCACCTTTTATTTACTCCAACTTTTCACTTTTTCAAATTTTCCTCTCGTCATCATCCTTTATTTTCTCCTTTGTATCTTTCTTTTTCTTTGTTACCCCCTTTTCCTCTTCTCTTCTGTATTTTTTATTTTCTCTCCTTGTCTTCGTCATTTTTTTTATTTATTTTTCTCCTCTTTCGTTTCCATTTATTTTCTTACATTTTTTTTCTTCTCTAGTTTCATTTTTTCCTCCATTACTTTCTCTCTCTTTTTTTTCTTAAACGGATTTTTCCATATTTCACTATATCATGTACTGTTTTGTTTCTCTACTTGCTGTTATGTTCCTTCTCTCACTCTCTCCGTTTTATTCTCCATCTTCTATGCTTTGATTTCATCTACATAATATTTTTTCTTTCTTCTCCCGACCTTCTCGCTTAAGTTTGCACACTTCAACTATTCTTTTAATAACTAATATCTTTGCATTCCAAAGTCTCCAGTTACGACCATCTTTCTATTTATAAAGCATTGAAGCTCAAAAGAAATCTGAACACATGTGCTAAAAACCGTTCTATTACACGTGAAAGATATAGATATTTATCTACGCATAATCATATATTGTGTTCATATTAAGACTTTATTTGAGATAACGGGATTCCATAAAGTAGATATACTTTGCTTCATAAAGCCCACTTGACACCTGAATTTCTTTTCCAAACTTTTTCTTTTCTTTACGCTTTTTAATGGTATAAAAATTTACAGCATTTTTACCAATACTGGGCAAAATTTTATGTCAAGGTCTATGGTTCAACTTGTTTTTCTCCAACACCAAAGACAGGACATCTGTAAACATACACACACGGCCCACCCGCAGTTTTTTTACCAATTGTATAGCTTCATCCCACAATGTGTTTCGATGTGAACAAAAACTAAGAAAGGCTCGGTGTACGTTTACAAGGTAACGGAACGCGAAATATCGCCATGACGAGAACAGAAACACACGAATCTTGTTTTTATTATATTGGTTTCTTTATTCACGGATTCGCCGGGAACCGTCTGCTTGGAGTAGGTAGGTGACATATGGGACATCTTGACTGCTACGTCTGTCTTCGCTTAAAACAGATAAACGGATGATATCTCCCTTTCCGACTCTGTGGTGAACGCGTGTCAGTACAGAAGCAAAAGAGGCCTCAGATCGTATGCGGACATGTTTGTCAGCACTAGTTACATCCGTTTTTTTCCGTTAGCAGCGAGATAGTTTGGCATGTCTAGATACGGGCCTCTCTGCAACTGACCCAGGTCTTTTGCAAGATGCCTCATGCGAATAGAAGCTGGAGGAAAACCAGTAGACGACAGAACACGGTGTCTCGTGAAGTCGGTCCCGTGGGCATTTTGTTCCTCAAGTTGCCGTGGTTTCTGAGACAGTGTTATTTTTGTTACCTCCCTTTTTTGCATATTAACTCTGTAGTTGCTGGGAGAACGATCGGTTAGGTGCCCCCCCCCATCCCCTAATCTCAACAGACTCTTTCCTTACATTACAACAGACTATACATTTACTCTAACCATCGCTCTCTCATTACCCTGACTGCCTACAACCGTACATCTCCACCAACTCGTAATTAACTCTAACCGTGGTCCTGCTTATATAAGTCCACAAACGGAAATCTACCTTCTGGTCAAAGTTTTCACTTATTTATTTTTCTCTACTTATGGATAGCGGGTGGTTGCTTTGAAGATCTTGCTTGTAGACTTTATTGCTGGTCACAAAGAATGAATTGTTTCTGGCTGAGATAAAATCATTTTTTAATCAATTCACTCCAAGCAAGGCGATAAAGCCACTAAGACGCAAGAGGCTACTGGGAGTGAAAGTGAAGGAAACGACTTTAGAATGAACCGCAAACCCAATAATAGTATAACTTTCAGAGTTAGGTGAAAACGTTAGAAGTATAGTGTTGAAGCAGAATTTAAAAGCAACGGAGAACCCAATCTTAAACGGGAAACAAAGGATAAACCTGTTATACCTGAACGTACCTATTCTATTATTAATAGACTCTCCCACACATAATAAATAGTAGTAGTAGTGGTCGCCAGTTGAACTCAGTGGAGTTTGAGTGAGTCAGTCTATATCGGACATTAAAGTATCAACCATCACAACTAGATTGCTGCGTCATTAACTCTTATTTCAAGTTCCTAACGTTTTTGTACGTCGGACCCTTTTAGGACCGACTTAGGGAAATACAAGCCTCCACCGTGAAAACTACTCTACAACAAAACCTCTACTCCTATTCAAAAGATTTGGGAGGAGCACCGTTCAATTTACTCTGTTGATGTCTTGATCACAACCATCTACTGTTGTTTCCCATGTTCACAAAATTATACCTTTGGAGTTTGATGTCTTTATTAAAAATGATGGCAACTGGGCCAATAATGAAAAATACTTATGATTATATCAGGCATGTCATCACAAAATAAAAAGAATATGGAAGTAGCTAAGTTTGAAATATTTTTGTTTGTCTATTTTTTATCTGATCCTCTTATAGGGTATAATTTTTTTTAGATGTATTATACTATTTTATGTCTTACACACATGTCACGTTGAAACACGGATTCCCGTTCGATCACAAAGTTAAGCAACGTCGAGCTTTGTTACTGACAACCCTCCTTCAGCCTTCACAGAACTTACAGCAATGGTATTATGTTTTTAGCTATTATATATCGGCTATTAATATATAAGATTATTTTAGGATAATCCAACAACCGGTTCGCTAAGCTTCTATAATTTTAAGAATCGGTTCGCGCGAACAGGTAGGATGCCACCATTGCTTTTTAGGGTTGTTATTCCAACACTTTCGTATAAACAGTTTTTAAATCCTACATTCTAATGTACATTTGGTGCCTTTTTTAAAAGTAGGCACTGAAAACCTTTGCTCACATATTTTACTGATTTATTTTAGCATGATAGGCGTGCTTGTAGTTTTCAGAGAATTATTCTTATATAATACACATACATAACTTTGGGTTACAAAATTTTGGAAAAAATTGTATATAATAAACATTAACTTTTTCGAATTTGTACCAGCTAAATTTAATGTCAATGTAACAATTGTTCAAATTTCAATTTTTGTATCGACCAAAAATAAGAATGTATATAGTTTCTATTATGCTTTCAAACACAAAATTTACGCAGTATTCAGAGCAAACATACAGAATAATCATCTTGCGATGAAAATAAGCTCACACACTCATGACGTCTCTTCATGACAAGAGCACCAGTGAAACAGACTTAAGATGTGCTTAATATCTACTAGCAGTTCCTGTAAAAACTTCACGGCTTTCCTATTTGAATTTTCTGGTGAATCATCATTCTTAATATAAAGATTGAATAATCTTGCAAATTCCCCAACTATGAAATACCTTGTTGTCTCGTTAAATATTTGAACTTAACACCTTTTAACCAAATATTGCAATAGCAATCATAAGTATGAATGCATGTCTTCATCTAAAGAAATAAGAGGATATGAATGAAAAAAATTGACAAGTTTTTGCATTTCTTTTAAGTAGATGTTAAAGCCACACATTCTTATGATGTATGCCATTTCGCTGAAACAGACGTTAAACAAGGAATGAGGCTTGCCGGAAGTTAAAAAAAAAAAAGAGTTACAGATTTACTCTGTCCGCTGCTGCTATACCATGGATTTGTGAACAGGGGACAGGCAAGCTATGACAGAATGTAGTGTACGTGATGCAAAGGAAAATGCAGAATTATAATATGATGTCAATAATCTTTTCTAAAAAAAAGTAAGTTTGAACGAATATTGGCGACGCACGTGCGCGGTAAAGAGTATTTGCTTCTCGTGTATAATACCAAATTTTAGGTTTAAAAATCTTGAAAAATAAGTGAATTATACAAGAATTACGGTAAGTATAATCATGTGCCATAATCAAAAAAGCAAGCTAAATAGGAAATTTAATATTATTTCCTTCGTGTATTATCTACAAAAACAGGTTGATTTGTGTTCCTCTTTCCCTTGCAGTAAATTATGTCGAAAATATTATCACATAAAATTCAAACAGGCACTAACGCATATTTTTATTTATTTTTAATAACAAATTAAAAAAACAAATTTTACTACTGCAATTAAACTCAAATAAACAATTTTTTACGACATAGTTGAGCTCAGAATCACCAGGTAAACAAATGACACCATTACCGACAAGTGACCGATAGAAGATCTATTCAGATAAGGCCTATATTTCACTCTCTCCTGCACAACCAAGTGACATTGAGTTGCCTCTAAAATAAACAGAACTAAGCGAGACTCATTGTCAATTTTAATTACTTTTTTTTCAGCTTTAAATACTGGATATGGAATATGTTTGACGATGTTTGTACCAGGTTAATTGTAGGATTGCTAAGTTAACTGAAGGAAACTGGTTGATACATTGTTGTTTTTTCTTAAAAAGAACTGACTTCAATATATTTGTCGCATATGCCAGTTTCTAAGACGCGTGTTATACGCATATCACCCAGCAAAGCCTCAGTTCTGGGAGTGGGGGAAATCAGGTGTAGGTGTTTCAAAAGAGTCGAACCTTGAGTTGGAAGAGAATTTCCGCGCAAAGCCTTCAGCCTTGTCTGCTATAGATGTAGACTTCGAATTGATTGACGAGATAGATAGATTTTTGTTTTTCTGTTAAAATAGCACACTTTGCAGAGCCACAATAATCAAGAACTTGCAAATGCTATACGTTGGTTCATTTTATCAATGTTCAGCATCTTCCTTCTTTGAGGACACATATTCGACTCATTAGATATGAACACAAAGAGACGTCTGTTGCAATCACAATTGTTACTCAAATACAACAATAAGTTCTTCTATAGCGGCCGAGCATGTGGGTGAGAACCAAGGAGATGAACGCGATTTCACTTGGTATTTCCTTGCTGGAATGAAAGCATTTCACCCAAGATGAGACTTGAGATGCGCATTTTTGAACAGGGAGATTAAAATTTTAATTCCAAGTGACGTCACGAAGGAAATCACGGAACGAGTCCCAATACAAACGTTGATAACAAAAAGATATTTTGTTGGTGGGGGAGTGGAAAGAGATGTTTACAGACACTACAGCTTGATCGGAGTTGTCAAGAGGGTAGAGCTGCATGATACGACATGGGTCAGAAGTAAAGAGATCTAGAAGAGTAGCGTGTCCATCACTGGGAAAACGTGTGGGGAAGTCCACCACTTGCGTTGAGCACATTATCACTCGTTCGTCAAGATGATTCACGTTACATTTCTTCGATCTTAAACTTCTTAAGAATTATATTTCTTCTTAAATTTAAGACATTTAAATCAGTAAGGAATCACATTAACCTCAATACGCAACATACTTGTTGAGAATAAATTGCAAAATACGTTTAAAAGAGATGGAAACCCGTATAAAAGAAC